ATACTTTGCAGTGAAAAACTACTATGTACAGGAGAAGAGAAGACTGAAGAGACAGCAAAGTGCTTCAGGTTCAGACACGTACTATAAAGTTCAAAGCCTTTCTCAGGCACATACACATTCTGTGCTGCAGCATTTCTGCATGCAGGAATATTGTAGATTTTGTCTTCAGCCTTTCTGAGGAGTTTAGGGAGCAAGTTCCAGTGTCACCTGTGCCTTTTCAGCAGCACCTGATTTTGCTGCTGCTGGAACAAACCCAACCACGAATGACCACAGGCACCTTCAGACACCCCCCGGGTACGAAACAATGGGTGCTGGATCCTCACCATGGGTTTCTGTTGTGATGGGCCTGGCATTGCTACACCACTGCTTGTGTTAACAGCTTTCTTTGTCAGCTGTATGTACACGTTCCCGTGGTCTTTTGAAACCAGGCAGTGGTAGAGATCATCATACTTGACTTCCAGGAAGATGGCCTCACGGTCTGGGCAGTCACCACTCTTCAGGAAGTAAACAGCTTTTGATGAAATGAGGACACAGTACCTGTCTATGTTCTCCACTGCTATGAAGCTGCAAAGAAGAAGAAAAATTATTGACTGGAAGCTAAAAATAGTAAACTAACAAATGTCTTCACCTATTATGCTTTGAGTGACCTTCTGAAGTCTTTCAGGAAAATTAATAGCCTAACATGTACCATTCATCTGCATTTAATTTAGACTGTTCTAAAAATCAAGCTGATGAAGTACCTCCTCATCCAGTGAAAATACATCATGCTGTAAATCAAATATTAGCACTAAATGCCTGGCTTCTAGCTTTGGACATTAAAAGGGCATATAAAAGTATCCCTTAACAAGCCTTAAGAAGGGTAATTTCCTTGCACTGGAACATTGCAAGTCCTAACACTGACGTTTAATTGCAAGTTCAGTTCCACTGCTGATACGTGAAAGGTTTGCAGACATTTATGACACCAGCATTATCCTTCTACACATTGTAAACCTACTGTGCTTCCTTTTACCACGCACCTCCCCTGCCTTTAAAAACAAAAAACAAGTTTAACCTGCTGCCTGGATCAGTAGCTAGAAAAGAGAAATTAGCTGTTTAACACAGGGGTGAAAGGTTAAGCAGCAAGAAGGTTTCCCCAGAGAGATTAGTCTGAGTGATGAATAGTAGAGGTAGGAAAGAGGGAGTTGAGAATATTGAGAATTATGACAGCTGAAAGGGTTGATGTGTAAATAAATAACAGTAAGGAATGCAGAAGTGAAATACACATTTCACACACAAACGCTTCTCCCTCACTTCTGATCTGCTGCTGAAATGAACCTTATTAGTGGTTTTCTTTTTAAATGGTGGAAAATTCAGAAAATTCCTGATGAACTCCTAATGGAGGAGTGCTAAACAGCACTGCTGCCCTGCCAGCAGCCCACAGCAGTGCGAGCAGAGCTGTACCACTCAGATTCTCATGGTGTCAGCTAGGTTGAAAATTAATATATTCTGAACCATTCTTACACAAATTTGTCTGCTGTGGTCCTGCTACATTCTGCAAAATACTCCCCCATCTTTGAAATTTTTGTAGATCAGAAAAGATTACTATTTATCTCCTGAGCTGCTGTTGCCTCCACCATTTAAATAACACTTTGCACAAGTTACTCTGAGCTATATCCAAATAAACCCATAAATGGAATTTACAGAGGTCAGATCACTGTTTCTTTTTGTGGTGTAAAAGAATAATTGTGGTCATTTTCTATTCCTAGTCCTCTTAGAGCTGTTGCTCTGCACTGACCTTGTTTCTCCCTGCTCTGGGTCTCCTTGCCATGCCAGCTGACAGTTGCCCTCGTGTCAGCGAGCTCCAGAACGGCGCACACGCTTCCTCAAGTGCTCACTGAAGTGCTGAGAAGAGCACAGCTAATAAAAATAGAGGCCTGTAATGGTCTTTGCCCAGCTCTAACCTTGGATGAAACTACAGGATAGGATAATTGGATTGTGTTCTTTTAAGCAAAACAGAATGGACAAAAATGTGTATTTCAGCTGAAAAAAAAACACCCTAGGACAAAGACAGCCTTAACACCCTTCCTGAAGCCAGCAACTGGCCCAGTCTTCCAGCACTTCAGGGTAAGGTTTTGTCTTTGAAATAAGTGGGATGGAGCAGGATGTTTTTTATGAAGTGTCATAGAAAACTTAATTTTAAAATAGAGCAGCATTATAGCCTGCAGGATAATCATGGTGTTCCTTGGGACAGGCACATAAAAGCAAGTACAGTGTTTTATAGAGCTCCAAGCTTGGACTCGGGTCAGACATCCCCTAGAAGCAGAACCAGAGGGAACTTGCTGGCCAGAGCACTCGGAGCTGCTTCAAGTTCAGTGGCAGCAACTGGGCAACCAGACTATGGGTTTGTATTTTCTCTGTAAGAGCAACAGATTATCCAACCAATATTCCATGCAGGACTTGTGCTGGTGTCATGTATGTGTGCTGAGGAACAGGAGCAGGGGTCAGGGATTGAATGGTGAAGCACAGAAACACTGGCAAATTTGGAATTCAAGCTCGACATTTTGTTCTAAGTTTGAGTCATGCATCATTACCCATTTTCTCTTGCCAACTGTTACTTTCTTCCCTGTGTCTGTTCTCAAAATGGGTTTTTAACCTTCTCAGATAATACTCCAAGATACTATTTTTTTTTTTTAAACCCATACTTCTAGACTATTAAAAAGATCTCAAATTAATAAAATGAAAAATAATGAAACATGGTCCAATAGAACAAAGTAGAAGCAACCAGATCTCTGGAGAATTTGTGGGTTTTTTAACAACATCAGGAAGTAATTACACAATATTTTCCAGAAGTGAAACAGTGAGCCTAACTGGAAAAAAATGTGGAAACATTTAGTTAGAACAGTAGAGCAAGGTATTAAACCCCCTTTTATGGATTTAACTCTGAAGGAAAATATGCAAATAATCAGGTCTTTAAATGTGTTTCTGATTACAATACTAGGATAAAAGTCAGAGGCATAATTTTGTACTTATTTTCCATGACAAGAATACTGTTTTCTTGTTGAATGATGTTCCTGATGGTGGAAGTCACAGTGAATGAACAGCGTGGCTCAATGACAAAAGCCTTCTGATCTGCTTATGGGGTACACTTGCAAAAAGCTGACAATTTTTTTTGGTCACAAATTGCTCTCTTTCAGTTCTCCCTACCCAAGAGCCAGACTATACGTGCATAAAGGCTCTTCACAAGAGATGAAAACAGGACAATCAGAGTGCAGGATCACAGGGCCGCAAGCAAGCGGCAGATGCCCAACTCTTCCTCATGGGCAGCTGAAGGTGGCCCCGGAGTGGCAGGTGGCTCAGAGCACCCAGTGGCCTCTGCCAGGGTGTCTGTGCATGCCCAGGACACAGCCCACTGTGGGTGTCATCAGGTGCTCACGCTGCCTGAATCGCTACCACCAGAGGACACACCGGGGACGTGCGTCGAGCAGTTTCAGTCCCTCTTCCCCAAAGACACGAAGATGCTGTGGCAGCAGAGAGAGTCACTGGAAGGAATGGTGTAAGTACTTACAACTCATCTTGGATGTTGTCTGTCAGCTTGAAGAGCTGCTCCTGCCCTTCTGCCTGGCTCTCCACGTAGCGAGGCAGCAGCCCCTGCGGCCCCCTGCAGCAGCGCGGCTTCCGCACCCGCTCCGCCTGCGTCCTGCGGGCAGAGCAGAGACTCAGTGCCACAGCAGCAACTCCCCTCCCACTGACACCTGGTCTGTTCATTTGGAAATACGAGGTGTGGCAAAGCCTTTAAAAATACAGGATCTTCACAAACACGGCATCTAGATTCTGTAATACTTCATCTGGAAGACATGGGGTCAATTCATGTGGTTTTTACATTTCAAAGAAACGTCTTCCAGTTTTCTTCTACAGTTAAGGGCCAATGTGCTACATTTATAGGAAGAAGCAATCTAAACTGGGTATACTCGCTGTAATTTTGGGATCTGTTTATCAGCAGAGTTTTACCAATTTGTCTGTTTCTTCTCATTTCTCTACCTAAAATAAGAGTGCATCGACTGAGGTGGAGCTCACATTGATGGGCGGTGTCAGCAGTATGAAAAGTGAAGGGTTACAGAAGTAGGAACATGCAGTTAAGACAGAAGAAAAATCCATGGTTAGTCTCCACAGTAGGGTTGCTCATACGTTACCTCTCATGAGCATCTATTAAAAAATGACAATGATAAAAGAGGCACGCATGTGTGGCCTAGCAGACATCAGAGTTGATACTGGCCCCAGCACTAGAGAACTGCAAGACAGGTTCCTCCCTTTGCAGTATTTCGTTAAAAAATAATATTGTGAATTCCTTTAAGCTTTTGAACCGCCCTGCCCCTGAAGAGCTGTGTCCAGGCTCCTAGCCCTGCTTCAGCCCCTCTCCTTTCCCAGCAGCAGCACTCTGCGGCTGCCACACACTCCTCACAGCTCTCTGGCTCCTGCTCAAAGCCAAATGCCCCATTTTTGATTAGTGCTCTCTACTTCCCATCTTGATTCCTTGTAAAGATCCTGTACAGTGAACTGCTTCTATCCTTTCTGATCAAAAGAGGGGAAAAAATAACGACCTTTTCTTCTTAAGCTGCCTGGCAATAGCACAGCCCAGCACTCTCCTCCTAAGCTTTGCTCTCTGCAGATGTTTTCTCTGGAGCCTGGTTTCGTTGTTACCTTTCCCTTTCAGCAGTCCTGCCCCAGACTTCAAACCCACACACCCTTTTAAAATTTGTTTTCCTTTGAGTCTTCGACACCTTTGACTTCTAATGGTGACAGACATTTATTTTTTTCCCCCCATTCCCTGTCTGGCTGCAGTAAATGTTACTGGACCAGAATCTCTCACATGGCATTCATGACTGAATATCCTCCTTGCTGCTCTCCCATTGGGTGACTGCCCTCTCGGAGTGTTTTGGCTATTGTCTGTGTGCCATCAACAGATTTCACAAACAAGGTGTAGAAGCCAAAGACACTGGCTTTGCAGCACTGCAGAAAAAAACAGCAGCCAATTTGTGTTTTTAATTCATTATGACTATCTGGTAAGTTCTGCTTTTGTTAGTGAGATGATTCCATCCCTCATCTGTGTAACAAATTACAGTGGCTCGAAGTTGTGCTTGTCACTGATCCCCTTTGAGAGAAGAAGCTCTTGACCACTTCAGCTCAACTGTGGTTAAGCTAAGACGGAAAGTCAGTTTGTCAGCAGGGAGGATGAAATGAGAAGTGGAAATTCTCCAACTAAAAGAATCTGAAATGGAGCAAGGACTTAAGAAACCGTAACAAACGTTGTCATTAATAGTGCCAGTAAAATGTTACCAGTCAAATTTTCAGTTTTGCTTCTCACTGCTTTACCTGTCCTGCTTTGACATTACAGTATTGTGTGCACAAGCTAAAAAATGCCAGAGGAAAACTGCAGTTTTGCTGCATAAAGGTAGGTGTTTGCCTTCATGAAATGCAAAACGTTGAGGCAAAGTTCCAAAGAAATTAGAGAGTTCCAACTGGAGTAAGTCACATCTTGCTGCCTGTCCTACTTCCTAACTTCCAAAACCAATAAAATAGCAAAATTTTACTTATCCAAGAAGCCCCCACTTAAACCTCTCTGCATCCGCTGTAGCTTCTATTGACAAGTTTAAAGAGTGAATGCCTGAAACATAATGTAACTTTCAATTACTGGCCAGTCAGTAACTTTTTACTTAGACATTCTCCTACTGTGCATTCAGGAAAGCTCAAACCATCCATACAGGGGCAAGCAGCACCACTGCATAGCAGTTTTTACATTAACTATCTTTCAGATAAATGTTTAACTGTGCTATTTCCTCATATATTCTGTAGCACCATGAGAGGGGGTACCTAAAGCATCACAAGCAAGACCACTGTAAAAATGAGGAGAGAACGGGGCCTTTTAATCAGACCTGCTCCTCAGAAACCAGACCATGGGTGAGTACTGTTTTCTACTGTCTGGCTTTGAAGCAGGTCAGAGAGAAGGAACTAGTGCTGCCAAAGCAGCAGGCACCACAGTGAACTTCTGGAAGGCTTGGCGGTTTGTGAGCTGTGGGTCTGGTTGTGGTTGTGTTTAGGTTTTGTTTCTGTTTTAAATGGAAGAAGCGCTCCAGAGTACAGTGCTTATTGTCCCCACAATGCCCCCCCATGCTAAAATGTTAATCCTGGTCATAAAGATAATTCTTTTCTTGGTGATAAGAAGGTCAGCTGCTTTTCAACTAAGTGCCACCAGTGCTAGCACAAATTGCACTGATTTACTCCATCAGCCCCTTGGCAAACTGGTCTGTTTGGTCTGGACAGCTAAAAACATTCCACACGGCTTGATTTTTTTAATCTAAAAATTTGTTCTACTGTCTCAAGTTACGTTCTGTAAATAATAAGCAACCCTGATGAAATACAAAAAGCTGAAGATTTGTAAAGCGGAATGAACGGTGGTGTGCCCACATCTGTGTTACATTAAACATGCACTCAACAGCTTTGCTGATTCTTTTTTAATAAGCACACAAAGGCAATACAAGACAGAAATGCCCTCACGTCTACTGGTCACAGCAGGGAAGAGTGCTGCTGAATGAAGACACAAAGAGGTTGGAAATGGTGTCAGAAGGTTGAGGCACACACTGCAGTCCCTCACTGCTCAGACAAAGCTGCACACTGGAGAATCTCGCTTCAGATGACTGTGCACACTAAGCACAGTTAACAGTGTTAATTGGTTGGCTTTTCCTTAACAGTTCACAGAATTCTTGTGATTCACTTGACCAGTTTTAAGCCAGAAGTTTTGTAATCAAACAAATCACCGACCTACTGATGTAAGGAAGCTGTTCAAGTGTTATTGGTGGTAATTGTTTACCAACTTAGATTGAGAAAAAGCTCTAAAAAAGACATGACATGTTCTACAGAATTACTCACCCCTGTCCCTTCTCTCCACGTTCAGCCTATCAGGTTTTCACTATCAGGTATGCAGATGTGATTATTGCCAAGCATACCCAACATACAGTGTTTTTGAGAACAATAACTATTACTCATCTCTGAGTGTCTTTTGGACCTATAAAATTTCCTTGAACTATACCTAGACTGCTTTGACAAAAATATGAAACAGAAATCAGAAGGTATCAAACTTTGTGTATCAATGGATGCCAGTCTGTGAAAACAACACCTTGCACTTCTTAAGTTATATACAAATGTAGACCTTACAGTTTCCTCAGTATCACTCCCAGAGTAATTATTTAGGACAACACAACTTTAGGAAATGTAGCAACTTCTGAGAGAAAAAAAAAAGAGCAAGGAAAAACCCTGTGACCAACACAGTAATCACTACAACTTCTCATTAAAAATGTCTATCTGTGGCATTTCTGATCTGTCCCCTTGGTAAGAGCCCAGCACTGGCAACTACCAGTCTGTGCAAAAAGCCCAGCTTGAGCATGTATACAGATTTTGATCCATAACTGGAAGATTTGCAAGAACACCCCAAATGCTGCACAAACAACAGCTCCAAGTGACAGGAGAGGCAATTCTGGCATCTGAAACCATTATTTAATAGAAGAGGTTCTCCACAGAGACTTTGCCTGCTGTACTGTCTGCCTGCCACCAAACCCCACGTCTGTTCTGTGACAAACACTGGTGTGCAAATCACCCACGTAGGCCCTCCAAAGAGATCTCTGGCCACAGGTGTCTCCCTCACACTCTCTAGTACTAATTTTCTTCAGCTACACCCAGCTGCCAAAACTTCCCCCAACTGTCACCATCAGGTCACATTCATAAAGGTGTTCCAACCCATTTAAAGCAGTTACTGGTTCTGGTATAGCTCAAATTCTGTGAGTGTTTCCATTGTAAACGTGGTTTTTCAGGTTTGCATAAAATTTATTGATAAAAGCCTGCTCTGGGCTGTAACTTGGCATTCTGACTTTCAGCCTGGGAACAATTTTTATCCCCTTGCAATAATTACAAAACAACCTGCGTTCAAAGGAAAATTGGCAGGTAATACAAGCCTATGAAACGATTCAATTGCTGCTAGTATTTTGAAGAAATAATATCAAACCTGTTACTTACTTGGCTCTGGAAAAAGTCTGCTTCATAAGTACAGGGAGTGCTTTGTCTAAGGAGGCTTTAGTGCACTTCAGACATTAAGGAGTGACTTAATCGGGTAAGTTAAAGGTGGAATAGCCTTACATCTTCTATCATAAAATATCATAAAATACATAAACTACATAAATACATAAAATACAACTACTAAAATACTTGCTACAGTTGCCCAGGTCAGGCCTGAGCTGCCCCTGCAGCCTTCCATAAGTATCATCATCCCATGCACACAAATTCCAAGAGATGAAGAACGAGGACAGGACTTGTTTCAGAGACACGTAACGGGAGGACACAGTGTTAAAGCTTACTCAGAAGTGCCAGAACAAATTAAATGCTCAACAGTTTATACTGTAAAAATGAACCTAGAAGTCTGGCTGGTGCGGCAGCAAACCACAGATGATGGAGTCACACCACAGACCAAAGGCTAACAGCTGAAACCAAACGTACGCCACTTCTGACGTGGTCTGGATTTCATGTCACACCTTTGCAGGATACTGAAAGTACAATTTCCACCATTTTTTCCTCACTGATGGACTTGCTCAGTACTTTGTTTCAAGTGTTTAGCCCTTGGGATAGGCAGGAACGGCCCCTGCATTTACTGAG